GATCCAAAAGGAGGTGGACCCGATGACGAGCTGCTGGGACTCGACTGGATGCATGTTCATCACTGATGGGTCAACTGACCACGAGAATCGGCCAGTGATGAACTTCTTGGCGGCGGGGGAGCAAGGGGCGGTGCTCGTGACGACGGTGACAATGCGTGGTAGGAACAAGAATGTGGCGGCGTTGGCAAAGTTGTGCGAGCAGGTCATGAGGGAGATTGGACTGCAATGCATCAACGCAATCTGCACCGACAACGCCGAAGTTAACAAGAAGGCCGCACAGATCCTAGAATGGCGCAAGGACAAGGACGTGGCGAGAATTCCATGGGTTCCTTGCGGGGCACACTATTGCAGTCTCCTTCTCAAGGATGTGGCCAACCTATCGTGGATCAAGGGCACAGTGAAAACCGCGAACACAATCGTGAAGTTCATCCGGAATCATCATGCCACGCACGACTTGATGATGACTGTCGATGACACGTTGTCCTTACTTCGTCCGACGGAAGTGCGGTTCGGATCTGTGTATAAAATGCTCCAACGGCTAGCAGACAGAGAGGATGTTCTTATCGAGATGGTGGATGGGAGGTCAGCTGGAAAGTGGAGAGCGTTGAGATGGTCAGGGGAAAAGTTGCGCAGGAGAGCCGACCTCGTGTACTACACAGTGAGGTCCGCGGTATGGTGGCCACATGTGAGGAAGATTGTGGACATCATAAAACCGATCTTCCAGTTGCTTAAGAGAATGGACGCAGAAGGACCATCAATCTTGTTGAGTACGATGATATGGTTGGAAATCGACGAACATGGTGTTGGCGAAGAAGGAGCGGCAGGATGTTATGGAGAAGGTGCGTGACCGCATGCAACTGATGAGGCAGCCGGTTCATGCAGCTGCATTCATTCTTGATCCACGACGGAGGAATAAACGCTGGCTCTTCAATCAGAACAGTGCAGTGATGCAAAATGCAATGCGCTACTTCTTGAGGCAGATTGGGGGTGAGTGGAACAACAAGGCACATTCTGACTTGTGGGGGGAACTGATGGAGTTCCAGAAGCAGCCCGCGAGGGTTGCGACAAAGAATGTGTGCATGGGGCCTGGGAAAGCTATGAAGAAGCGGAAGGATGAGCACATGTGGGAACAACCGGCGGTGGACGATGTGARGAGGCTTAACCCTGCGACCTGGTGGGCAGCACATGGCGGGGATGTCCCAACCCTTCAGGCAATTGCAATCAAGGTCATGGGGATGTGGAGCACTACGACCCCCGCTGAGCGCAACTGGGCATCCATGGACTTCGTCCACACGAAGAGATGAAACAGTCTGTCCCCCCCATCCCTCGAGAAGCTCGTCTACATACATTGGAACATGCAGTTGCTGCGAGCTCGACACCACAAGGACAGTGGGTTCGTTGATGTCTGGGGTTCGTTCTTCGAGCCAATCATGGAGCCACAACAGAATGACGGGTCGACGCTGGTGACCGATACTGAGGATGCTGTTGAGAAAGAGGATGAGGAGATGAGGCAAAGGAATATGGCGACGGCTCCAAGAAACAGGATCCCCCAAAACCTTCTCAATTCCGACACTAGTGACAGCAGTGACCTCGAGGATATGGTGTGGAAGGGGAAGTGCTGGAATGTGTCATCATCGGACTGCAGCGAGGATGAGGACTCCGATTTCGAGCTCGGTGTGGTGCCTGCAGTCCCGGCGACCACGTATGTTGGTAGGCAAACTCAGTGACAGGATAGGGATCTGGAGGTTGAGCCTACGCCGGTCGTCGATAGAGTGGACACGGACGTCGAGTTTTTGCCGCACCGCCACGATGACCCGGACGAGGAAGAGGCCACCCGTGCAAAGGAGATGGTGGACAGGGATCGTGAACTCGTGGACAGGCGGGTCGCTGAGGAGGAGGCCCGTCGTGCAGCGATCCCTACCCGCAGGGAGAGGGAGAGGCGTGCTGCACAACAGGAAAAGCGCGGGGGGGAGACCTTGAAAGAAATGGACGGGGACGTCCAGCCTGCCATGGAGAAGGGCGAGCAGCAGCAAGGGGAGCCCGCGGACACAGCAGCAAGGGGAGCCCGCGGATGCAGCAGCAAGCAGCAGTTGCCGTGTACACACGCATGCCCCGCCCATGTGTGGAGCAAGAAGTGGGAGTGGAGGGAGAGACCACCGACCAGCAGGTTGCAATTAGCGAGAGGGGGAAGGAGCAGCAGGAAGAGCAGCAGGCCGCAGAGGACATCGGCACGCCCCCTTTCCCTGAATTGAATGATGCTCTCCACCATGGCAACCTCTGGAAGAGCAGGGCAGGCAGGAAGAGGAAGGCAACAGTGGAGGAGTCCCCCAAAGCGCCCCGACGCGGCCGTGGAAGGTCCAGAAAAAAAATGCCAGTCGAGAAGACTGCGTCGCAGCACGGACGCCGCTACACTACGGCTGGCAAGAAGCGTGTCATTAGTGATGATGACCCGGATAGCGATGGCAGTCCCCCGCAGTCACTTGATGGTGGGATCAGCCCATGCCAGTCCGATTAAGGGATCAAGGGACAGAAGTCCCAAATTATGTGTGTGTGTGTGTGTGTGTGTGTGTGTGTGTGTGTGTGTGTGTGTGTGTGTGTGTGTGTGTGTGTGTGTGTGTGTGTGTGTGTGTGAGAGAGAGAGAGAGAGGGAGAGAGAGAGAGAGAGAGCTTCATTTTGTGAACAGGAATGATGATCCCAAACTCCCCAGAGCAAGTTCGGTGCTGCATAACTTCTTTTTCGATGTCTTCTTCGTCTACCACTTCTTCTTCTTCTTCTTCTTCTTCTTCGTTTTCATCTTCTTCTTCTCCTTGCTATGTAGCCTTGTGAGGTATGGCTTCTTCTTCTTCATGTTTTGTGCCGCTGCAGGTATGCATCGGTCAGTGTTGGCAGGACAGGTACGCTGCAACCACCCCAGCAACACCCCCACAACACCCGCCGCCCCCCCACCCCCACCCCCCATGGAAAAACAATTTGCACATCTATCTTTTCTCTGCGGATTCGGGGAGATCTCGACAAGCGCAGTCCAATCCCATCGCCAAGAAAAAAAAATAAAAAATTCAACCCGGTTTTGGGTCCAACTGGATTTCCGGTTGGACCACCGGGGTCCCAACCGGCCCAGTTGGGTCCAGTCCGGTCCAACCGGCCGGTGGCCGGTGCAGCCCTGTTTTTCTCAGAGTTTTTCGAACTTTTTCCTTATTATTATTTTTCCCCCCATTCCTTTCCATATGCTTACAAGCGTTTTTTGGGGGTGCATACATGTACGGGAGTACATACACATGCGCACACGGTGCTACCTAGGGCTACGCGTCTCTATGCACACTGTGTTTGCTACGCGCGCATACAGTGTACTACACCCTCCCTACGCGGGCATACAACATGGGTTTTCCCCCCCAAAAAAGGTTTCTTTTTTTTTTTTCTGATGAGGGTCCGCAGTGCGCCGATGACCGCAAGGTGCAGACCCCAGAACCCAACGGGGCTTACAACGCCCCTTATACCCCCCTTACACCCTCCTTGTACCCCCCTTACACCCTCCTTGTACCCCCCTTACACCCTCCAATGCACACTGTGTTTGCTACGCGCGCATACAGTGTACTACACCCTCCCTACGCGGGCATACAACACGGGTTTTCCCCCCCAAAAAAGGTTTCTTTTTTTGTTTTCTGATGATGGTCCGCAGTGCGCCGATGACCGGAAGGTGCAGACCCCAGAACCCAACGGGGCTTACAACGCCCCTTATACCCCCCTTACACCCTCCTTGTACCCCCCCTCACACCTTCCTTACCCCCCCCATATATCCGCAACCCCTTATACCCCACACCCCTTATCACCCCCCTTATACTCTATACCCCTTACACCCCCCTTACACCCCCCTTACACCCACATTACACCTCCCCTTAGCATTCAGAATTCTTTGCAGCAACCTCTCTCTCTCTCTCTCTC